AGAGAAGAAGAAGAGAAGAAGAAGAGAAGAAGAAGAGAAGAAGAAGAGAAGAAGAAGAGAAGAAGAAGAGAAGAAGAAGAGAAGAAGAAGAGAAGAAGAAGAGAAGAAGAAGAGAAGAAGAAGAGAAGAAGAAGAGAAGAAGAAGAGAAGAAGAAGAGAAGAAGAAGAGAAGAAGAAGAGAAGAAGAAGAGAAGAAGAAGAGAAGAAGAAGAGAAGAAGAAGAGAAGAAGAAGAGAAGATGTTGTTAGGGTTGTTAGTTGTTGAAGTTGTTGGAATTGTTGTTAGGGTTGCTAGTTGTTGAAGTTGATAGTTGAAATCTATGGGTTGTTGAGGGATTTTTGTGCTTCCAAGTGTATGGGTTGAAACCTTGTTTTGGGAGGGTTTAGAGCTAGAAAAAAAGAGGATCCCAATAATAGTCAGTTTCTCAGAAGCGATCGACGGACTAGAGGTACGGTCTGTAGATCGGTCTACGGACCGTCGATCCCCTCCTTAGTTCCACACTTAGAATTTTCAAAAATTCAGGTATTGGAACCCTCTCAGGATCACTCTACGGACCAACAGTACGGTCCGTAGATTGATCTACGGACCGTCGATGGACACCGTGGTTCCACACTTGGCCATTTTCCTGAATTGTCCTCAAATACCTTGCCTGCTGATCTACGGTCGTCACTTACGGACCGTGAATGGACCTACGGTCCGTAGATCACTTCCGTCAAGGCCATGTTTCTGCATTTCTTATTGTACCTATGTTTCCAAGTTGTCTCCAACACTTCAAGTTGTATCAAAATGTTTAGAACTCATTCATAACAGGTGATTATATCCCTTGAATCCATAATTCAATTCAAGGAGAGTTAGAATCGAGTTAAAGAGAAGTTAGAGTCAAGTCAAACAAGGTTAATAAGTCAGTTCAAGCAAGTTTTCAAAGTTGTTCGAGAGTCTTTAATGAACGTTTTTACTTCATTCTAAGGCTCAAGTTGCAAGTCAAGTAAAGAGTTTAAAGTTGAGTTCATTTCTCAAAGTTATTAGGGAACTATGTATTCCCAAAGAAGTTTTTAAAGAAATGTTTTCACATTTAAACAAGGTTGGAAACTAAGATTTCCAAAAGAGCCTTCGGGCCAGTTTTTCAGAAAAAGAGTTATCGTTTTCTAAATGAAGCAAGGTTGGAAACTGAGATTTCCAAAAGAGCCTTCGGGCAAGTTTTTGAGTAATTATCTCATATCAGCAGGAAGAAATATGTTTTAAAACATAAGAGCCAGCACTACAAGAAAACTGCCCAATAGCGAAGGGAAAACTGGTCGCTATAAGTACGAACCTGGTCCCAAAAAGGGAAATAGCGACCAGTTACACTTGTCCTTATAGGCCTAGTCGCTAATGACCTTTAGAGACGAGATTATCGGGCTGGTCGCTGATTCTTTTTCGCGACTAGTATATCACTGGTCCTCAAACAGTCAGTCAGTCAGTCAGTAGTTTTGAGTCTCTCATCCATGTATATGTATGTATATGTAAATATTCTATTTTGAGACTCGAGTTGCCCCTTTGGGCCTTATTTTTTTATCAGTTAAGTTGTTTATGTCTTTGCATGGCATTGAGTTATTCTGTTGAGTCAGGTTTCCGCTGAGTTAAGAAAGCCAGGCCAAGGGTTCGCTTGGGGGCCAGCAATGGTCTCTGAGTGCCGGTCCCGCCCAAGGTGTAGGCTCGGGGGCGTGACAGAAGATCACAACATGACTTTCTTCTAGACAAGCTTGGAGTATTGAATCTCTTTAGTACATCCAGCTTGAAGGGGAGTATTGAAATTGGTTAAGTGATTGATCAATTATGTTAGATAGGTCGTTAATTGATTAACTATGTTAGTTGGTGAAATGGTTAGCTTAGGTGTTTAATTAACCAACCTGATTAATGATCAGTTAGGAGTTAGTTAGTTAGCTACAAGTTTGCTACTATTGTAGCTGCAACACCTGTATAGAATGCATTGTATAAATACCCACATCTGTAACTAACTCACATAAGCTTTGAATGAATGTGAGCTTCTTCTTCTTCAATATGATTCTTTCTGTAAATCTCAATAGTTTATAAAGATAAATTTATTTCAAATGAAGTATGAATTATTTATTTCAAGCTTATTTATGAGATATTCCATCTTATTTATCGAGCAAATATATCTTTAATTCTATTATGTATCAATAAGATTTCTCTACTTACATTTTTTTTTCTTATAAAATCATTCAATCAAATTTGTCATAAAAAATCTCCTTAACATCTTGAAATAGGGGTGTACAAAACCAAACCGAAAACCGAACCAAATCGCAAACCGAGAAAAAAAACCCGACTAGTGGTTGGTTTGACTTGGTTTGGTATTGAAAAAAAAAACCCGACTATATTTGGGTTGGTTTGGTTTTAACTAAAAAAAACCAACCCGACATTATATATATAATTTAAAAATTTTATTTTATACATAAAAATATTTACTTTGATATAA